CACATCCACAATCGTAGCTGCTTCTTCCATAGATGCTCCTGACCAATCTTTCTTGAAATCTCCCCCTCCCCAGGTCTTTTACAGCCCACAAGTTCAGTCCGCAGGGTCTGTTCTGCAGTGGCAGCACATGCTCAACCATTTTTCTCTCCTTGGGGAAGAGGGGAATGAATGAATGGGAGTTGTATGGATCTGAAACTTCTACATGGGGCTGGAGAGCTGATATGCATTCCCCAAGGGGCTAAGAGGTTCTGTGCATTAAAAGCCTGTTATCTCTCTGAAGTGAGAACGTGGCCTTCCTTGTGGTACCCACTCCGCCAATCTCCCGTGCTGGAACTCTTGACCCCCAGAGGCCCTTAAAGGCCTCTCCCTCCGTTTTCCTTCACCAGGCCTTTCAACCCTGGCTCAGTTTGACTGGTATCCGTTCATTTATAATTTTTATTTAAGCAACATATATGGCCTCCCATCTCACAAACATGACTCTACAAGGGTATAAAACACTTTAACCACAACCATAATGCTCAAAGTCACCAATACAACTCATAAAAAGTTATGTCCATCTTGGTGAAGGAATGACTTACAGTATTACAATGGTTGGAGTTTTGCTGAGTTGAGAAGGTTAGGAGAAAACCCAAACACATAGATAGATAGATAGATAGATAGATAGATAGATAGATAGATAGATAGATAGATGATAGATAGATAGATATGCATGCATAGATTTCTCCGCATGCATTTGTAACTGTGCGTGGAGGAAAAGATTGTGCATCTTTGCGCACACACTTCACATGCTCCTGTGCACTCTAGCCAATGGGCCCTCAAGGGCCTGACCTGGCACTCAATGTTCTTTTGGGCCCAAAACTGGGACTCCCTGTTTTGCATTATCCAAATCAAACAATTCATGAGTACCTAATTTCATCTTTCTAGTTCTGCATAAACAAGATATACGCCTCCCACAGCCTGAACGGCTTTGTTGTGTTGGCTTGTTAGCTAAATAGAAGCCCGCCGAGGTCCCCCACCCCAAGCCTGCAGATAGAACAGTGTGGTGGAATATGCCAGCGTTGGATTCCAGCCAGCCAGCGACAGCCCCTTCTGGCTACTCCATTGCAGGCCCTTCTTTCCTTCCACGTCCTTCAGGCTGTGCTCAAGATCCCCTCTCCCTTCTAGCTTTTTCATGAAAGCTCTGATTTTATTTTACTGCTTTAAAAGGTTGGGGTTACCCAAACACTCTCTATGCCTATCCTTGCTAGAAGAGAGAATGGAAGAGTAGGCAAG